TATGATCAATATTGATTTTTCACGTGCTGTTTTGATAAAGTCGCGCGAAGTGTGAGTTACAAGCGAAGGTATTCGCCTTTCTCTATCCGTGTGCGCCATAGCCTTTCGTGACAGAGACCTGAGGCGACAGAGGATAGTCAGTGACTGAAATCCGCAAAATTTCCATCTAGCTTTCAATGCAGAGAATATGGGCTAAAATTCAGATCTAGTAAAATTAGATGGGTGGGGGAGGGGAGGCAACGTGCAAAATTTCGTGCCACGTAAAGTAATTCCGAAGCTCCAGGGTAGGTGTAAAAGCGGATGCAAAGCGCTTAATTCCATCCTGGGGTTTGCTCTGCTACAAAAGTTGGAGTTATTGCAGAAGGCGCGAACTACGGCAACACCTACTCTACCCTTATAGGAATAGACCCTGTTGTCTCCTTGGGGAGACCGCCAGTGCAGGAATGTTTTTTAGGGGACACTAAACTGAATTACAGAGAAAATCTACACCTATGTACTGTGGCCGGCAAACATTTCTTGCCGCAAATCCAGCAGGTCATCTAAGTACCGAATCATTCAAAATTGTAATGACACCAGATGTCTCGGCGCTATCGCAATATATGGGGACATTGTGGTGGCAGTGGATTTACAACTGCGTAAAACGTGTCGTTCCGAGAAACGAAGGGAGGGGGAAGTGTTTGAACAGGACTAAGCCTTGAAGGGGGTGGAGAGACTCCAACATGCGTAAGTCATTTTTATATTTTCCTCAAAGATCCTCCCCCTCCTCGGCTTGGTCCTAGACGTTGCCCCCGTATATTGCGATAGCGCCGTTTTAAGAGACCCAAAGAGTGATCAAGTCCGCTATGATCGAGGACCTGACCCACACCTGATCGCCTTCTATGGCTCAGCATTGATGTTGCAGATGAATGATGACAAATCGTTAGTTCACGTTCAGATCGTGCAGCTGATGTGGTCCTGGGAAGCGTCCTGAAATCCATGAAAGAATCAATCTCAGCTCGTGAACGTTCTGATAGCGATCGTGCAAGTCTCCATGCTTTGACGCGAACTTGTGAGTTACCTTTCGGCGCTCATGTCGTTGGGGGAACATTCAAGTGAATGAGCCAGTCGATGCCTTGAACTAAGCCTCCCTAAGGAGGAGAAAGGATCCTAAGTGAAGCATGTCAGCAATTTTTGTTTTCCCTGTCATTCTTCCCTCTTTTGGGCTTAGTTCTAGTTCACCTGTGAGTGGTTTTTCTATGCCTTGTTTTGAATGTTCCCCTACCCCTCTTAAAGGACATGAGCGCCCAGCTTTCATCTCAGCAATCGCCTGGTCATCTGTACATTCTGCCTTTCAGTGATCGGTCTTGTCGTCTTTACAACCTTTCTCGTCTTTGGCTTTCTTGAGGTGTTCGTTGGTCTCATCAAGGTGGGCACATGCCCTGTGGAGCCATTGGTACCCGTCTGGCTGCTCATGGCCGGCATATTGAATGTTATCTACAATGTTGTGGCGATCATATTCATTATGTTGGTAAGCTTTCTCAACCTTGCTCTTTTTGCGGGTTTTGTTTCCATTTTGACCTACAAGAATGCCTAAGAAACTGATTTTAGCACGACAAGAAAGCTCGCACGCCAAAGATTCGCGAACTCGTCATGGGAGTGCTGACCGCTGCTTGGCTGATATGGTAGGTAACATTGAAATTAAAAATTCAGCATTAAAACTGGCGCTCATGCCCTTGGGGAGGGCGGGAGGCAGGTGGGCATCCAAGTGAGTGACCCAAACTGTGCTTGGCACTAAACCCTAGGGGTGAAGGAGATCCGGGGGAGCGTGTGAGCAATTTGCGCTTTCACCTAGGCTGTTTCTCCCTCATGTGGGCTTGGTTCAAGCTGTTCACACATTAGCAGTTTTCGAATGGCCTTTTTCTTAATAACGCCCGTGGACCAATAGCGCCCTCGGGTGGAGTAGGGTGAAGTCAGCGGCATCAAGTAATGCCCCATGGGGGCCTTAAATTCCGTCTGACCGACACGCCAGTAATGCTACCAGTTCGTGCATGTTTCCCGTGTCTCCAATGGAACTCCGTCAGCGATTATCCTTGCTCGACAGACACGAACCATTCAGTTCAATCAAAGCTTTCGTTAAGAAGCCTTATCATTGAACCGATGGTCGTTCAGGCGTTCCTTCGTCCCGGGGATCCAGTCCTTAACCGCCCTAGTCCAACGCCCACCACAAAATCGCATGACGTGTTGAACCCACCTAGCTGATCATACAAGGAGGGTCTTTCAGGTCATGGAGCGCTTTTCCGAAATGGTTCCTTGCATGTTGTAAAGGCTCATGCGAGGAACATAAAACTATGGTCCATTTTTCCTGAACACTTCTGGGAACCTCAAAACAGTGGTGAAGAAATGGTCCAAAGTTCAATCCGCCGTGGTGACAAATTTTTGCAATCCATGTTGGAGCCTCCAAATTGTCGCCAAATTACGAGGATGACATGTTAATCGACGCTGGTGCCATTTGGACACAATTTGGAGGCGCCAACATAAATTGCAAAAATTAGACATCACGGAGGATCGAACTTTGGACCATCTCTTCTCCACTATTCTGACCTTCCTAGAAGCGTTCAGGAAAAACGGACCATGGTTTTGTGTTCCTCGCATGAGTCTCTACAAAGTGCAGGAAATCATTTTGGAAAAGCGCTCCAGCTGCTCCTGAAAGACCTCCCTTATTAGTTCCGGCGTGGCCGGAAACGGCGGCGTCCATGATCTTCGGTCGCTGAGAGTTCGGAACACCGGATCCCTTCCTGCAGTTGCGTGTATATGGAATCTCCCAACATCGTTTTCTACAGCGGTTGGGTAACGCTAGCTGCATAGTCGTCCCTGCCTGCCCAGAGTCAAGGTCTTCAAGACGTGCGTTGAAGCAAAAAGAAGTGCAGACGAAGTGGTGGACGCGGAGCTGGCTCTTATCTTCCTCCCTTCTCTTTCGATGTTCTTATATTGTCGTTTCTGGGGAGGAAGCCCTGTCGAGACTCTCCAGGAGAGGAGAGTCCTAAAATCCGAAAAATACAAACGCGACAAATAACTCCCATGTCTTCCCACTCCAGTTGATGCATGGCGTTCTCGGGTGCGGCGTTGAAGAGTTTAGGTGAGATGGTATCGCCATGTCGAACCCCTCTCTTCAGCTTGATGGCTGACTACTTTGTAGAGCGGTGAAGATCCTGACTTGTAAGTTGCTGTATAGCTCAAAAGGAACCCTTCCCTGCCACCACTTAATTCAGTGGCTTTTGCAAGTCGATGTAGCTTCGCGTAAATAATTGTCACTTGATACTCTCGCACGTCACTTCAGTAAGTCTTTCTTCCGATCTAGATGTAAGGCGATTGGTTAAGACTTCAAAATTAGTGTACGTGGTGATCCTTACAAGATCAATTCCAAGCGCTCCTGTTGTTTGTCCCGCCGTGGAATACGTTATTTTAGCTATCTCATAGCCAGAGCCTATCTCATAGTCAAGCGCCTTTGGTTTCCGCAGGGCCATAGCATAGTGTTGTAAAATGAATAACACACCTGCATGGATAGCAGGGCTGGGTGCAGTACGCCCTGGCCAGGGGATGGGTCCCCAAATCTCTGCATCTTTGAATACATTGTCCTATTTTTGATCACGAGGACTACGTCATCGACACCGGAGCAAGTTTGGGAACCTACTCCTCTGCGGGGCTTTGCTGCACCGCCCCCCCCCCCCCTCAGGATGTTCAGTCACGTTCGAACCGACTGAGGCGAAGAATGTGATCAGAACTCATCGCCATCGAAAAAACACATGCGCTGCGAACTGCAGCTGAAGCGGCAGCAGGTCGCATTTTTGAGAAAACGAGTCGTCCAGAAGGTCATGGAATGAATGCGCCATGAAACCGGGCTATATTGTGAACTGTAGAGTTATTTGGATGTGTATATGGCCTGAACCGTGATCTGTGTAAGCGCCCATAAAGTTTTAGCACATAAAGCTTTATGTGGTCAGTGTGCAATGCTTACCCTAAAGTTATATTCTCAGTGCTCATAAAAACAGCAGGGGGTGGCCTTCAAAGATCTACCGTAAGAGCGTGCAGTCTTCATGTTTTTCCACTCAGGAGCTTAAGCTTCGATATCCCGAGTTTCAGGCTGATTTTGGGCTCATATTATGTCTATGAGATCTACGATGTCGTTGTATACGAACAAAATCATCCGAAGTACTGTGATCGCTTCGTCTACACATTCGCCTTTTTTGTCATTACAATCTCCTACGTCTTCCTTGGAATTCTCGTGTGTTGTGCCTGTTACTGCATGGTATTTTTATGTTGTCATAACAGTTCCGTTATTATAATTACATAAATTAAAATAGGCAACATTTTCACGCAAATGTCTACGAATTTACTCTCTTTCTAAAATTTGTAAAATTTTCAAAATAAATACTGCGATTCGGTTTAGCTTTGTTTGTTGAGTGGCAGTGGGAAGTTCCTTCCTTCTTCGTTTCATGAGTGCGCACATAGTGCCCAGACGAAAACTGCTGCTTTGCATAAATAATTCACGTAATTGAATTCATTCAAGAAGAGTTTCGCCGAAAATAACCGACCGTGCGTATTGCGAAACCCTCGCCGGGTTTTCTTCCGGGGTGACGACATAATGTCGCCCCCGGCCGAAAGCCTCGTGCGGCGGCTCGTGTCGGAATGACAAACAGATGCTGCCAAAGATGACATGGTGGCATGGGTGGGAGGTCCAGCTATGTTGCAGATGCATAAAGCATTGCCCTCAAATACAATATACCCTCCTTTCAAAAACGAGAAGAGCGTCGGGTGCAGACCATACACCACAAGTGACGACGGCCTCCAAGTAAATCTGGTTAGTAGTGGTTCATAGTGATAGCTGATTTTTGGTAAATGATAGTTGTAATTAGTGACAACTGATAGAATACAACTGCAACAGGCTAATCATTTCATTGGCAGAAAACATTTACATTTTGTGGAGGCCGTCGTCACTTGTGGTGTATGGTCTGCACCCGACGCTCTTCTCGTTTTTTGAAGGGAGTATACTTCTACTTTTTTCCACAAATCGAGGGTGTGTCAGGAGGTCCGCTGGGTTTCATCCGCTGTCATCACGCGCCAATAGGTCAGAACAAGCGCGACGTTTGGTCTCTAACGCAATTTTTGTCCAATTATGAAAATATACCTGTGAAAAGTAGTGTGGTGGTGAAAGAAACATAAATATAATGTGAATTTCACAGTTCACGTTCAAACTCGTGTACGGATGCCAAAGCGATGTGAGATTCTGTACTTTCGCCGCGTGCGGCCGCGTGACCCTTGGAGGGGGGAGGGAAGGGGCGGGAGGGTTCTTGACTATATACAGTAAACCTGTACTGAAAACAACGGGTGGTCATACGATTATGGCGCAAAACTAGAATCGAAAAAGACAATTCGAATCCCTTCGGATTCCCACTAGCCATATCCGAAATATAATAGCATGAAGTGCAGCTTCTTTTGTTTTATCGGGCGCGTTATACTACCTATGGTTCCAAACCTAAATGCCCTCTATTTCGGAAAACGAGAAGAGCGTCGAGTGCAGACCACACACCACAAGTGACGACGGCCAAGAAAAAAGAGAAGAAATTCCTTTTTTCCTTGGCCGTCGTCACTTGTGTGTGGTCTGCACTCGACGCTCTTCTCGTTTTCCAAATAGAGGGTACCCTCAGCTGACTATAGCGACGCCCTCCTTGAATCTGTCCGTGTTTTTCGTATACAGACATCACTTTTCTCTGAAGACCGTATTCGGTAAACTCGTGAGAACTCAAACACAGGGTACCGTTAGTAATAGCAAGGGTAGAAAAATGTTCTGGTAGTTGGTGCTGGCAGGCTCATGACCGCTGCCTGCAATCACGATAAAGCCCTTGGGATAGGAAACTTGAAGGAGATTACTCTTATTGAGTAACTATCGTGTCAAGTCTGGGCCAGCCAAGCTTTCATCTCTCATAGGAGGTGTAACTGGTATTATACTTTAGAAAGAAAAAGTCACTTAGCCAGCGTTACTTGTGGTGTGTGGTCTGCACTCGACGCTCTTCTCGTTTCTCAAAATAGAGGGTGCTCCACGCGGAAGGCGCTGTGGAAAAGGTGGCTGAATCTAGCGGATTGAATTCACTTAGGACATATTCAGAATCCTCATGAAAGCGTGATTACTGGAATGCCGAGTGGAAGACACAAACATGGCGATTACGAAGTATTTCGGCCAAAATAAAATGTTTGGACAAAATAGAGCAACGGTATAATGCGTGATTATGTCTGTGCGCTTGTTGAGGATGAAAACTCGCTCCTCAGGGAGCCGACTATTTCCACGTGAACGTACACCTTTTCCCCTGGCAAGATAGAGTTGCAGGCTTAGCAGCACTTTTGACATCAGAGATCAACATTGCGAAGAAATACGATATCGATTTTTTCGAAGACATCGCCAAGTTTGCTGGTAAGTCTGCAATTACGACAGGTTTAACCACAGGAAACAGCGCATATAGGAACATTGAAATGGACGAATAGAGCCTTGAAAAATTCCTACTAGAGAATCCCTTCTCCTTTTCCCGAATGATGATTGACTTCCGGCTTGTTTTAGCATTAGCCAGCGGCTTGCGCATTTTTTCTACACCCGTTCAGAATGGGCAGTCTCCGCCGCGTTATGCGGCGCCAAGCGGATCCTTTTTCCGGGAGCTAACAAAAGAGAAGAGCCTGACTTGAGAAAAAAAGGTATGCAGTGGTTATGAGTCAGTGACGGAAATTTC